CAGGTCTGTGAACACATTCGTAGTCATACTCTTGTAACTGCTCCTGCCAGCGGGCAACCTGTCCCACTGGATCACGAAAGTTTCGCAAGCACGTCAGAGAATGATGGTCTGTGCGAACGATGAAATGTAGACCCAGCAGGAAGTGTCGAAAGTGTTTTGTATATACTGCCAAAGCCAGCATCTCCTTGCGCGTTGCACAATAATTGCGCTCGGGTTTACTCAAACATCTACTGCCGTATGCTATCACGTTGTGGTGGATTGAAGGTAGATACTACTGAACCGGATATAAGTAGTGTGATGCAAGCTGACACACCAACAGCGAGCCTTGCCGACTTCCCCAAAGTTGAAGATGACCTCAGGATTCCAGTTCCATGTGCACGAGGAGTAAACACAGAGACGAGCACCAGTTGGGAAACACTCTATGGAAATCACGGATGAGCGGAGCGAATGCCTCCAAAGTAACTGTATGGAAATCACGCAGATGAGCGGACGCATCCAATGTATGAACGAACACATCTAGTATAAGCGACTTTAGTAATAAACAATTACCGCCTGCCACGGGTTCTTATATTTGGTGCCGTGACCTCAAAACCCATGAAGATCCCCTGGCAGGAGCCATTTGAAGACGGGGATGTGAAGGTGTTTTTGGAGGATTTCGAGGAGGTGGCAGATGCGGTAGGACTGAAGACGGACCGGGCGAAGATGGCGGCGCTGCGGAGTCTCCTCAAGGGCAGGGCGAAGGCGGTTCTGGAGGCGGCGCGAAGAGGTCCGGTCAAGTTGGAGTGGACCGCCGCGAAGGAAGCGTTACTCTCTGGCCTGGACACGCCAGCGGACCGCCAGGAGGCGATGCGACGGTTCAAGGCGTCGCGACTTGGTGCGGGGACGGATCCCCTCGTGTTTGCGGTGCACCTCAGGAGCTTGTTGGACCGCGCCTTGCCGGGGTTGGATGGGCCGTCAAGGATTTTAACACATTGGCCTCACCCTTGTACGAGCTGTTGAAACAAGATAGGAAATTCACGTGGAATGCAGAAGCTCAACGAGCCTTTGATCAGATTCTACAGGAAATGGGAAGGCAGGAGTTGACCCTGAAATTGCCCATCGCTGGTGAGATGTTTACGGTAGCCACTGACGCCAGCGATGTCGGGATCGGTGCGGTGTTGAAACAAAACCATGGGACGATCGAATATGCCGGCCGAACTTTGACGCCTGCGGAACGCAGATACTCAACCATAGAGAAAGAATGTCTCGCAATTGTCTGGGCGTTAGATAAATGGCGACCATATCTCCTGGGTCAGCGATTTCACGTCGAAACAGACCATAGACCGTTAGAGTGGATTAAGTCTGCCAAAGACCCCAGAGGAAAACTGGCGAGATGGGCATTGCGCTTACAAGAGTATGATTTCACGATAAAACACGTGCCGGGGAGGGAAAATCAGACAGCGGATTTTTTGTCACGCATGATAGATGAGGATGACTTGCCGAACGTAGCTTTCGGTATTAACGGTATACTGTACGAGCAGGATCCAGAACGGTTGGCAACCGAGCAACGTAGCGACAAACTCCTACGCAAGTTGATCACCGTGCGATTAACTGGTCAGACAAACTTCAACAAAAACCAACTCAAGCAGCTGGGACCGTTTGCAAAAGACCTGGGAAAGCTGCAAGTGAACGAAGCAGGGATCTTAATGTGGATGCCAGGAGGTAGCAACCCTTCGGTGCCAGTCATTCCAATGAAACGAAGACGGAATCTAGTAGTTTCTTGTCACGAGATGGCGCACACAGGTTGTTCCAGGACCTATGATCTGCTGAAACAACGCGCGTATTGGCCGGGAATGAAAATGGACGTTGAGAAGTGCGTACTTTCGTGCCGACAATGTCAGCTCATGAAAACGGATTGCCGAGGGATGCAGCAGCAAACGATGACGATCCCGGTCTCGGAAATTGGTGAACTTTGGTCGGTCGACGTGATGGGGCCGTTTCCATTGACCAGGCGTGGTAACCAGTACATTTTATTGATGACGGAGCACTTCACGCGATGGATTGAGGCGACAGGCATCCCGGATCAACGGGCTAGCACCGTTACCCATGCTGTCATGAATCACTTGGTAGCGGCTCACGGAATCCCAAAGGCCATCTTAACAGATCAAGGGCCGTGCTTCGAGAGTGAGGAATTCCGGAACTGTTTGGAGAAACTTGGCATCAAGAAATTGCGCACCACCCCATACCACCCGCAAACAAATGGCCTGACGGAACGTAACAATAGAACAATCAAGGAGTGGCTAGCAGCAAAAGGTGGAGACTGGGAGGAAGCGCTGCCGCTACTGTTGCTGACCCATCGAGCAACCAAACAGGCGTCCACAAAGAAATCACCATTCCAGTTGATGTACGGTCGACAACCTCGTCTACCTGTGGACCTAGAGATTGGAATGTGGCCAACTTGCCGTATATCTCCCGAGGAGAGACGTAATAACCGAAAGACCGCCAACCGCAACCTACAGGCGACTCAGGCGCTGAGGATGGCGAAGTTCCAGACCAGCAAAGGTGGAAGGAATATCGAGTTTCAGATTGGTTCGAAAGTGAAGTACAGGGACCATCAACGCTATCCCACTTGCGGCCCAGGGGAGAGGAAACTCCTAGCGAAGTGGAAAGGACCGTACGAGGTAATCGACCGGCGAGGCCCAGTGTATACAATCGCTCGGCAAGGTGAATCGCGGAGGGTGAATGCCAGCGAGCTGAGGAAGTGGTACGAATTGGAGGAGGAAACACCCTCGTACAGGGAACATCCCCGGCGGTCAGAAAGACTCCGACGGAAGGCAGCTGACGCGAATCCTTTGGAGGGGGAGGAGTGTGGTGGATTGAAGGTAGATACTACTGAACCGGATATAAGTAGTGTGATGCAAGCTGACACACCAACAGCGAGCCTTGCCGACTTCCCCAAAGTTGAAGATGACCTCAGGATTCCAGTTCCATGTGCACGAGGAGTAAACACAGAGACGAGCACCAGTTGGGAAACACTCTATGGAAATCACGGATGAGCGGAGCGAATGCCTCCAAAGTAACTGTATGGAAGTCACGCAGATGAGCGGACGCATCCAATGTATGAACGAACACATCTAGTATAAGCGACTTTAGTAATAAACAATTACCGCCTGCCACGGGTTCTTACAACGTGCTCCAACCCATCTGCTCCTTTCTGGGATAGGACAGCCCCAATTCCTGTATCACTCGCATCCGTGTCGAGGATAAATGGACCAGCTGATGGGGACAGATCGGGAAACGCCAAAATCGGCGACGTCGCGAGCGACTGTCGTAGGGCATCGAACGCCAGTTCGCACTGCGGGGTCCAACGAAAAGGCCTCCCTTTCTCTGTAAGGCGGTGAAACGGTCCCGCGATATCAGCAAAATTACGGACAAACCGTCGGTAGTATGAAGCCAGACCAAGAAACTGACGCACCTCCTCCGTGGTTCTTGGAGTCGGCCAGTCTTTTATCGTCCTAATCTTTTCCGGATCACTTTGGATCCCCTCCGGAATGATAACATGCCCAAGGAACGTTACTTCTTATTTTAGGAGTTGGCCTTTTTGTGGTCGCAATTTAAGACCAGCGTCCGAAAGGCCACGTAAAACCTTATCGAGATTCGCCAAATGTTCCTCCAAGGAACGACCATGCACGATCACATCATCTAAGTACACTAAACAGTGGTGTGGGATCCAAGATCGCAACACGATATGCATTAACCGCTGGAATGTGGCGGGTGCATTTGACAATCCGAACGGCATGGATTGGAACTCATACAGTCCCGTTGGTAGTATGAAAGCTGTTTTCTCTCCATCTTGTACATCGACCTCCACCTGCCAATATCCCGATGCAAGATCTAAAGTTGAAAACCATTGAGCACCACCGAGGATTTCCAAGGTGGCGTCGATCCGAGGCAATGGAAACGAGTCCCTGCGAGTCACTTCATTAAGTTTGCGATAATCTACACACAGGCGTAGCGTGCCTGTTTTCTTCTTAACCAGAACGATAGGTGAGGCCCATGGCGATTTCGACGGGGTAATGATTTTTGCATCCAACATCTCCTTTATCATACCCTCGAGCTCCTGCCGGTACTGGACAGGGACCCGACGGGCCCTCTGGGTGATCGGGGCCGTTGACCCAGTGTCGATTTTGTGGCCCAGGATATCGGTGCGTCCAAGTGGGGTTCCCTCCCAAGCAAAAGCGGAGGAGTTTTTCTGTACGATGTTACGCAGCATATTAAGCGCAGTGGAAGAAATGGTGTCTTGGAACGGTAGTAGGAAAGCTTCTGTCTGTGAATTTACGGAGGTGGGCGCTTCGTTAGCGGCACACACATGGTCGTGTTCAGTATGGGCTGAGACGATTGGGAGGTGACATCTACCCCATCGTGGACGTTCGTTGGCCAAATCAATTGAACACCCTAAGTGATGTAAGAAATCGGCACCGAGCACAACATCCCAGGGTAGTTGGAAGGAAACAAACATAGGATGCGTCACATTGCAATCCCCTATGAGAAGTTCAACTGTAGTGATACCGAGTGTTTTGAGTATGGTGCCATTTGCGGTTTGTAATTGGTGCAAATTGTTAGGTTCTAGGGAACTGTCACATAGTTCTGGTTTGATTAGGGAACATGTAGCACCAGTATCAATTAAAGCATACACTGAGTTAGAGCCAACTAACACGTTTACAAAAGGTTGCCTTGAACTTGGCGTAGGATAGATGCAAGGAACGAATTCAGACTTACCAAGACGTGGTCGATCGTTCCGGCTTTGGGTGGTGGGGACAGTTGAGGGAGAAGCGATGTTTGCGTTATGACCACACACTCGAGGTTTTGATCCAAATTTAGCGCAGTAATAGCATTCCTTCCGGGTGTTTGACATTCGTGGTCGGCCTGGTGACAAGCATGATCGGTTCGATGTCATCTGTGAACGACTCACCAAGTTATCATTGGACCGCCTATATTGTCTCACTAATGCCGCTGCCTCGTATTTGTGGCCGATAGCGACGGCCTCCTCGACGGAATTGGGTGGTTCCCGGGCGTAGGCTTCGCAGGTTTCTTCATCAATAACCCCTTGGACTAAACGCTCAAGGACAAAGGACTCACGGACGGTGACCGACAGATTGCCGAAAGCACGTACGGCTAAACAGCGTAGATCAGTTACGTAGTTGTCCAACGACTCTCCTACCAGTTGGGACCTGGACCAAAACTGATGCTTTGCCCCAGGGTGAGAAACCCCGCCGCCGAACAAAGAACGCAACTTTTCCCAAATGTCCTCGACTGAGGAACTGACTGAAAAACTTGATGACATTAAGACTTCTTGGACTCTGGGGTCCAAGTGAGAAAGAATGTAAGGTCCGCGTTTAGACGGAGGGACAGCACTCAGATAAAGGTCCATTCTCCATTTCCAAGTTTCCAGGTCGGTACCAACAGTGAATCGTTCTGGAGGAGTGGGTGGAGGCTGGACACCAAAAGATTTCTCGTCTGGCCTTATTACAGGGGGTTCAAAAACATCATCAGAGTTAGATTTGGGCAGCATGATCCCACCTCTGTCACCAAAATGTGTAATGCGCAGGACGACGAAGGCAAATGGGCCGGTAATTCAACGTGCTGGAATAAGAGGGGAACACACAGTCAGTCACACAGGGCACAACAGAGGGTTCGACGAGGGAACACGGATGCAGCGAAGAACACGGAGCGAAGGTAGGAAAAGGTGTATTCAACACGAGAGCCACAGTTACAGTGCCATGCATTTAAACACAGAGTTCAGGAAAGAAAACAGTAGGTACACAAGTGGTTAAAAGTTCACCAGTCTTTGTCTTCAAGTTTATTAAGGTTGGGGTTTCTCGGGAATGAATCTGAAAAACAAAGAGAGAAAGGAAAAGATAGCGGACATTGGATAAGTTGATGCGGAGGCACTACATTACCTAAGCTCGTACATGCGTTTCATTTTGGTGCTGAGGGTTACCAATAGAAACTATCCTATTAGTGCATTGGAACACTCATTTTCAAGATAAACTGACTAGAAAGTTCCAATATAAACGCAATGCTTAACGCGCTAATGCAACCGATCGCATAGTTTTGCCATCTTGAATCTACAATGTTTGCTGTGCCACTACTGGCTAGTAACGTATTACTACTGTTGGAGTAATGCCGTTCCAGGGGAGCGCTGCGTTCGCGGTCAGCGGGTATAGGAATAGGGGTGCAGTGCTTGCGTACATCAGTGCGTGCAGCCCGGTTAATTGAGACCTTTATAATTCGAACTGTTACAGTTTACACAGTTTTAAAAGTGGAACCTTACTGAAGGTATAAAGCAATAAATCTTCCGGTTAAAAATAAAGTTACAAAGTTGCAGCGAACTTACAAAACTAAATTGTAAAATCAAACTTACAAGGCTGCAAAGTTCGTGTTGTAGATACACAACATTTCTATCCATGTAAATTAGAACGGCTGGTAGCAAGTATCCTAATATAAGAACAGGAACGCAGATTTGTGTGGCGTTATGCAGTGCACAATAGTCGCAACAGACATGTAAAATCGTGGTTCTATGTTTTTGCATCACAGCAAAACGTCGTTCAACGAGTTGTTCAAGGACGAACACTTAGGCATCTATCTTTCCAGTCCCCCCTGAAGTTGAAGTCTTTGTGTCTGACCAGCGGACTGTACCAAAGCAATACAGCAATGCACCGAGGCTGTTGTTCCTGATGGCTCGGATTCTGAGGTTATCGCACTTTGTGGCGGACCAAGCTGCAATGTACCAGTAACTGACGATTCAGGCGGTATGCAATGCGATGTCTGCAACCGATGGTACCATCAGCTTTGTACGGAGCTAAATACCGAGCAGTACGCAGCGCTGGCCTCTAGCGAAAAGTTGCTGTTCCGTTGTGCCAATTGCTGCAGCCGCCGGCAAGGCCGCACAGCCTTTCGTACGAGAGATGTATCTCTTGATACCCGGCTGCGAAATGTAGAGCCTTCGTTCTCGATGCTCTCTGATCTTCGCTCAAAGATCGATCTGCTTATGACGACGCTTCCGGTCTCCAACAAAGCAGATTTGATCGCTTACACTGATGATCAGCTTGTGGCACCTATCATTATGTCACCGGTCCAGATGGCTACAGACCACAAAAATGAAGCAGCTTCGGACGTCGTATCTATACCTACGCTGATCGATGCCGAATTGCTGGTTCAAGGGTCACTTCGAGTTAAGCGAAGAAGAGCCAGGAAACCTCGTAAGCTCTCTGCTAAACAAGAAGTTGTCTCGGCACCGGTAACAGGCCAAGTGTCGTTACTTGGCAAACCGTCTGACGGTTGTGCGAAGGCGAAGATCACAACACGCACTACTTATCAGCCGAAGTTGCCGGAAATCTTGGTTCTCACCGAGAAGACATATTCTGAAGGTGTGCTTGATTCTGCTCAAAGCGAAAAAGCCCCACGGGACCCTACTCCTGTTATCAAGAAGAAAAAGCAGACAAAATCTGCTATAAAGCCTTCCGGTGAAATCGATGACCCTAACAAAAGTAAGACATCGACAATGGAGCGAAAAACATACGCTGCCGTTGCTACATCATCGGAGGGGCTAAAGACAGTTCCATTACCAGTAGTGAAGCCACCTGCTCCGAGTGCCGAATCAAAGACCCGTGGGGTTAATACACCCCGTCGTGGCGATTCTTTCACGGATAGTAGCGTTATATTCCGTAACGCGGCAGAATCTACTGCTGTCCTTCCCGCTGATCGCATGTTGGACGACCTTCAGTGGTTTAAAATGTGCGTAACGAGGCTTCTTCCGCCTGGTTTTCCAGGCGTTACTGTCAGGAAGCTGATTAGACTGGGGAACGTCCCAGGTAACGTACCAAACCCGCGACCGCGGCTACTTCGTGTGGTACTCTCTACCCCGGAGGAACGCAATGCTCTCATGCGGTTTGCGTTTAAGCTGAAAGGTACAAACATTAGCGTTCAGCCGGACCTTCCGCTAGCCGATAGGCTGAAGCTAAGGGAGGCCATCAAGGACCTCAAAAGCAGGCGAGCGGCCGGTGAACAAGGTCTCCGGTTAGTGGGTTTTCGGGTGGTCAGCCGGCGGTCCTTTTCCGCCCTACCAGTGCCAGTACTGGTAGCGCACGACCCAGGTCTGGATCTAACGAAAAACTTCAGATAGTGCTAAGTAATGTGCGCAGCCTAAGGAATAAGGTGTACGAGTTAGGTCTGCTTGTAGATGGGTCTCATCCCGATATACTCGCATTCACTGAAACGTGGCTGTCTCAGGACATCACGGATGGTGAAGTACTTCTATCTGGCTACGCACTATTTAGATGCGATCGCTCTGCTGGCCGACAGGGAGGGGGCGTCGCTCTTTATGTGAGCTGTAAACTGGACGTTTTGAAGACTTGCCTATTTCAGTCAGCAGACAAAACTGTTGAAGCTCTGTCGGCTGTTATTAGCACATCCTCGGCTCAGGTTACAGTTGTAATTGTGTATAAAAGCCCTGGGAGCGTATCCAAAGAGGTACTTGACTTCATTCGCTCCCAGTCCGCAAATAAGTGTTTGGTGATGGGCGACTTCAACCTCCCAGAGATTTGTTGGGCAGATCTTTCTTGCGACTCAGCGTCAGGCACATTCGGCGCTGATCTGCTTGAACTTACGCTCCAAGTATCTTTGCACCAGTTCATTGACCTCCCCACTAGGTACATGGACGCCCAAGTACCGTCTATCTTAGACCTTGTATTCGCTAAGTCACTCGATTTTGTTGGGGACATTACTTACGGACCTCCACTGGGTTCCAGTGATCACGTTTGTTTGCTCTTCAATTGTACTCTGTCTAGACGCTACCAGAGTACTGTTGAGTCTCGCCCGAACATATGGCAAGCAGATTATCAATCAATGAGAGCCAAGGCTTCTGGTTTCCATTGTGAGATCTCAGACGACGATACTGTCCAGGTTGCCTGGGATAAATTTAAGTCCTACCTCACAGAGGTCTCTGCTCCCTTCATACCAGTCACAAGGAGAAAGGAGGCCCGAGCACAGCCGCCCTGGATAGATCCCACTGGCAGGCATCTGCTCACAAAGAGATCTAGATGTTGGCGGACTTACCGAGACGCTCCGTCTACCGATACTTATGACAGGTACCGTAAAGCTAGAAATAGGTGTAAGCAACACCTAAGGGATGCTCGGCTCAATTTTGAAAAAGGGTTAGCGGACGAAGCTTCAGAGAATCCAAAAAGATTCTTCGCTTATGTCAAAAGACGCTGCGGTTCGAACATGTCAATTCCAGTATTGATGCGTGATGACGGTACTCATGCGCATACGGATTATGACAAGGCCTGCGTACTCAGTGGGCAATATGCGGCAGCGTTTGTAAGGGAAACCTCTTTGACAGGCGTTGAGCTGGTTTGCAGGACTCCAGAGGGTTCAGAACTATCTGAATTTATTGTAGCGGAGACTGCAGTTCGTAGGCTGTTACAAGGGCTGAACCCTTCTAAGGCCTCTGGGCCTGATTTAATTCACCCGAAACTGTTGCATGAATTGGCTGCGGAAATAAGTGGACCGCTCGCTATTGTGTTTCAGAAATCGCTTGACAGTTGTGCATTGCCTTCCGAATGGAAGGAAGCTGTCATCTGTCCCATCTTTAAACATGGGGACAGGGGTCTGCCTGCAAATTACAGGCCAGTTAGTCTGACGAGTGTAGTAGTCAAACTGCTCGAGAAACGGGTGAGATTCATTGGAGAGTCATCTGAGTAGATTTAATCTACTTAGCAATGTACAACACGGATTCCGGAAGGGATTTTCGTGTCTGACGAATCTGTTGGTGGCTCGCGAAAATTGGGCGGATGCAGTGGATAACGGCCACACGCTGGACGTGCTTTTCGTCGACTTTTCGAAGGCATTTGACAAGGTACCCCATTTGAGGCTCGCGCAAAAGCTGTCCTCCTACGGGGTATCTGGCCGCGCCCTTCATTGGGTGACTGCCTTCTTGGAGGGTAGAGAACAATGTGTACGGGTAGGCCGGGGTCTGTCATTTAGGCAGTCTGTCCTCAGCGGCGTGCCGCAGGGCTCGGTCCTTGGACCGCTGTTGTTCTCTATCTATGTGAACGACCTACCCACGGAGCTTGAGGTACCATCGCTGCTATTTGCTGATGACCTGAAGCTGTGGAACATTGTTGATGTTCCTGGGGGTTCCGAAGCTATTCAGCGAGCATTGGATAAGCTTTGGGACTGGTCTACTTTATGGTTACTGCCCATAAATCAGGCAAAGTGCTCCGTTCTTCGAATTGGAGGAGGTTGTCCTGCGAAGTACTTGGTCGGTGGGGTCGAACTCCCCCGTGTATCTAGCCAGGTTGACCTAGGCGTCGTACACTCTTCGGCGTTACACTCCGGCGACAACTGGAAGATGGCCGCAAGCAGAGGTTTACGCATGTTGTGGTTAATCCGACGTTCTTTCGGAGTCTTGACGGGCGGCATCTTTACGAGGCTGTTCTCGGCTTTCGTTCGCCCTCATCTGGAATACTGCGTCCAGGCTTGTCCGCCCTGCCCTCGTACATGCGTTTCATTTTGGTGCTGAGGGTTACCAATAGAAACTATCCTATTGGTGCATTGAAACACTCATTTTCAAGATAAACT